CAGTTGATTATTGTAACAATATTGCCATTATTGTGTACAATGTTTTCTTGGATCTACTCACTTCATTTTGCATCAATTCATATAAGTCTTCCCAGCTTTTTCTGAAACCATCCCTTTCTTTGTTTCTTATAGCACAATAGTATTCCATCACCATCATATACCACAAACTTGTTCAGCCATTCCCCAATTGATGGGCATCCCCTCAATTTCTGATTCTTTGCCACCACTGAAAAGCTGCTGTAAATATTTTTGAACATAGTGGTCCTTTTCCCTTTTCTTTCATCTCTTTGGAACATAGACTCATGGTATTGCTGAGTCAAAGTGTATGCACAGTTTTATAGCCCTTTTGGGTATGGTTATTTGCTCTCGTTTTGGAGAAACCATTTTCATTATCTATTTTAAAATTATTTAAATGACTATTTAAGGAATGTTCAATTAAAATAATCATGCATATGGAATTAGAGTTTGTCATACTTCATACTAGATAACTGGGGGGTTATCATCATTGCCTGTTTGCATATTTTGTTCCATATATACTCTACCCTTTATCTTTGGCTTCCATCCTTTCTCTTTGCTTCCTTTCCCCTAAATGGCTAGCTAAGATACCACTTCTCTTTAGTTTCGCTGTCGTTTTTATAGTGATTGCTGCTGTGACTTGTTTCAGACTTGGGAGAGTAGAAACACATTGACTGTGTCAGCGAGAATTAAATTCTCTCACTGCTTTGTAATAAAAAGTGAAAAGCTTTAACCCCATTCCTGTCTTCTTCAGCAGTCACCTTCCTCTCTCCCTCCTCCCCCTTTTATTTAGTGAGAGTATAGATTGTTTCTACTTTACAGACTCAATTCAATCTTGTCCTGTCAGGCACACCTTCATGTTAGAGATATAGTAATTGATGCCAGTAGCATCATATCTGAAAATGAAAGATGATATGCAGTAATATAGTTAATAAATCTTGTAAGAATTAAGCTCCTGTGTGACAGCATTTTCCAGGATGTAATATATTCCTCTCTCTCCTCCTTCCCTCTCCCCCCCACCCCAAAAGCTTGACTTTGTCTTCCAATGACATAAAGTCATGTAAGTATAGAAATTTGCAGCTCTTACTGTCATTATATCACTGTTAAAGACCCTTCACAGTGTAGCAGTCTCACAACAGCCACTCGTAACAATGGGAAATAGGAGAAGAGAGAGATCTGCCTTGTAACAGTCTTCTAGAGCCACACAGTTGGTTAGAAGTCTTAAACATTTACTTGTGCTGTTTAAGACAACCACTGGATCATAAAGCTTTAAGTATGGGTGGAACTATATGGCCACTGAAGTCCTTTCCAAGTTTCAAATTCTATGATTCAGTGAAATTCCATATGTAGTCAAGTTATAGGATGTACTAGAAAAGTGAGTAACCAAATTGTAACACTTTTGTTTCCTTAATTTTTAGTTGAGAAAAAGCCTAGCTGCTCATTTTGAAAAAGCTTGAGTTTAAAAGACTCATTTTGGCTGTTTATCAGACTCTCCACAGTAGCTATTTTACACCTCCTTATTCCACAGTGTTCTACATGACTTCCTCCTTCCTCCTTCCATCGATCCATCCATCACCACTAGCTGTCATCCTATCACACCCTTCCCTTTCACGGATAAACTCCTTGAGAAAGCCATTTACAATTGTGGCCTTCAGTCCCTTTCGTCCCACTCTCTTAACTCTCTAGAGTCTGGCTTCTGACTTCATCCTTCAACTAAACTTGCTCTCTCCACAGTTACAAGTGATCTCTTAACTGCCCAGTTGGGCCTTTTCTCACTCCTCATCCTTCCTGACGTTTCTGCCGCCTTTGACACTGTTGATCACCCTCTTCTTCTATATCCATTCTTCACTCTAGGTTTTTGTGACATTTTTCTCTCCTAGTTGTACTCCTAATTCTCCAACCTAACTTTTTCATTCTCCTCTGCTGTATCTTCATCCAGGTCATGCCCACTAACCATGGTTGTTCCCCAAGGCTCTATCCTGGGCCTCTTCTCTCTCTATGCTGTTTGCTTCATGATTTCATCAGCTCCTATGGATTTAATTATCATTTTTATATGTATTCTCAAACTGTTTATCCAACCCGAACCTCTCTTAGCCTTCAGTTTTACATTTCCAACTGCCTAGTGGGTATATCAAAATGAATATTCCATTGGTTGTTTTTGTTGTTCAGTCGTGTCTGACTCTCCATGGCAAAGATACTAGAATGGTTTGCCATTTCCTTCTCCCAGTTTCCCCATTTTACAGATGAGGAAGTGAGGCAAATAGGGGTTTAAGTGACTTGCCCAGGGTCACACAGCTAGTAAATGTCTGAGGCTGGATTTGAATTCAAATCTTCCTGACTCTGGGCCCATTGCTCTATCCACTGCACCACCTAGCTGCACATACACATCTTATCCCATACACATCTTAAATTCAACATGGCCAAAACTGAACTCATTATCTTTGCCTTCAAACTTTCTCCTCGTTTTGACTTCCCTGTTCCTGTCAAGGACACCATCTTCCCAGTCACCTAGGCTCCCAACCCAGGTGCCGTTCTCAATTCCTCATATTTTTTGCTGCCCCCCCCCATCCAATATATTGATGAATCTTGTTGATGGGACTTCTGTAAATTTCTGGTGTATTCCCCACTCTGTCCTCTGACACAGCCCCTACCCTGGTGCAGAGGCTTATCACCTCATGCCCGAGCCATTGCAATAGTTGCCGGTAGGTGTGCCTGCCTAGCCATCAAAGCGATGTTCCTAAAGTACAGGTTTGACCATGCCGTCCGCCTCGTCAGTAAACTGAAGTGGTTCCTTCTTGCCTCCAGAATCAAATAGAAAGCTTCTCTTTGGCTTTTAAAGCCCTTCATAACCTGGCCCACTCCAACCGTTCCAATCTTCTCTTTCACTCCCCTCTACGTGTTCTGCAACCCAGTGACGTTTGCTTCTTCCCTGTTCCTCACAAATGACGCTTGCTACCCCGACTCTGGGCCTTTTTGCTGGCCGTCCTCCCTCCTGTCCTCCCCCATGCTTGCAAGTCTAACCCTCTTCTCCTTATTTCTCAAGTCTCAGCTGCACTCCTATCCAATATGCCAGTGTCTGCCCTCAGAGGTTATTGCTCTTATAGCTTGTGTTGGTCCTTCCTGCACACGGTCACTTTCATGTTGTCTTTCCCATTAGATAGTAAGTTCCTGGAGGGTAGGGACTACTCTTGCCTTTCTTTCCATCGCCCTCACTTAGCACAGTTCCTGGCACATTCAGTAAACTCTTAATAACACCTTTTCATGAATTCATCCATATGATAAGTACTTTTCTTCAAAGTTTGTTATGATCTCTGGTGCCTTTCTTTACCCCTATACAACTGCTGTGTAAGTTCTTCTCATAGACTGGTCTTGCTAGTCTCTGGGAAAATAGAACTTTGTGAAGTTCATGCACCTGATATTGCATCCCACCCCCATATCTCCAGGTAACTATTTCTCCATATTAAATTTACTTTTTGCTAATCAAAATCAAAGTCTATTACATTTTTTAAAGGAATTGAATAGAAATTTTTCCAAAAAATTGTTTGTTTTAGATTTTTTCCTCTCTACTTTTAGCAGTCTTCCTCCAGAGTTTTAACTATTTAACAGCTCTCTCTGGGTTATTCTTGGAGCTTGCATTTATACTCCCAGGCTGGAACCCCAGAGCATAGTAGCCACCCTTGGATTCTAGGGATAACCCTGTGGCTATACTTCTAACACTTGTAAGCTCATAAGCCCTAACCAGTATTCTTCTCTTTAACCAGAATCCAGTACTTTTACATAGCTTTTAGCAAACAAGCATTGACTAGGATGGCATAGGAAGAACAGTTGGTACAAGACATTCTCCCCCCAATTGTGGAACATACTGTCCCCCAGATACAATGTTCATGGAAAGATGGCTTCAAATATAGGGAACAGTGGTATTGAGGCCCATATGTGGCAAGAGATAACTCATAACTGCTGGTCCTGGAAGTCCTTCGTCTTTTTGTAGAGTACTCTTAAAGTGTTTTTCAAGATGTTTTCACTGCCACAAAGGACTAAAATATTATTTTTAAAATATGTTAAATTTAATTAGTACTTGGTTCAAAATCAACTTTGTATGAATGTTTTTCTTTTTATACATTTGTACTTCTAGTGTTTTTCCCTTACCATTTCCATTAAATTTCCAATTAATTCTGGAATTTTAAAATTGTTATCAAGGGAAAACAAATGTCTAATATGACTTGCAGCTGTTATTACTGAAGCTGACTGAAAAATTTTGCAGTCATTTTATGCATGGTGACTGTGATGCTTTTGTCAGGATCCTAACATTTTCTGTCTTGTATATATACATTGATCTTAATAGTGAATACATGAAAAAAAACTTGTCTTAAGTGTTATTGTGTGCCAAGGACTATGCTAAGCTCAGGAAATACAAATAAACAGTAAAGATAATCCCTACTCCAAAATAATTTGTATCCTAATGAGGGAAACTACATGCATAAGGAAGTGATGCCTGCATTGGAGAACTGATCAGAAAGTTCAAGGGATTGTGTGTGTGGTGGGGCATAGGGAAGGCCTTTGATGTACTACCCCTCCAGGACTAGTAGCAGAGTTGATTTGATCATGGTTCTCAAACTGGAGGTGATGAACGGGATGGATAACCTGGATGGGAAGATAGTTGATGACTCAATGGAAAAGATGATCGGGGAGGAAGTGGGTAATAAAGTCAACTATGGCTGAGACCTGCCTGAAATAGTGGACCAGGTGGTATAGTCACCAGCTGAGATGGGATAGTAGAGGAAGGGCAGAAGTTCAGGAGATTAAAGGGCTGAAACCTCCAGGGCAAAGTTTCTGGCTGAGAAGTAGAAAGTCAATAAGGATCAAGTAATTTTATTTAATAACATGATATAATTATTGAAATTAGATAACTTAAATTGTACAGTTTCTACTGTCAGTTGGCTATAAGGAAAACACTCAATTTTAACAATTTTGTCCATTCATTTTAGGTGAAAGGCTTTGAACAGATGTGGAAAGATGTTGACGACAGAGAAAGGGGTTGTGGAGGAATGGTTGTCAGAATTCAAGGTAATGTTTTACTGTGTAATAATGTAAACATACTAGAAATAAACCTTATTCCAAATTAAATTAAATTTTGCTTGTGATGTTAGCAAAACGAATTATCTGTCCAAATCATGAGTGTGCCTAGAAAATTCCTATGAACAATTGTTTGGATTTTTCCCCCCCTTCTGATTCAAAATAAGTTGATTTGCGTCACTTTTCTCCTACTCATACCAGTATTATGCTAATGCTAGCAATAATCCACAACGATGAGGAAGTATCATCTACAGTCCTGTTAATTCTATAGATAAACTCCTGCGATGTTACTAGCAATACAACAATAGAAATAGCTCCCTCTTCCTTCTACCTGTTTTCTCTCTGATACTTAACCTTTTCCTCTTTTAATAAGTCACCTACTTCCCTTGCCCTCCTTCCTATCAAGCCATGTTCTCTAAATCTAATTGCTATGTCTGTACAGTAAGCACAGTGATCAATCAATATATATATTTATGTAAACACACACACACACACACACACACACACACACACACACACACACACACGAGTAGAACCAACTGTAGAGGATGTGTTTTGCCCGTGATTGCAACATAGATCTTCATAAGTAAGTCAATAGTCAACAATAGTCAGTAAACATTTATTCAGCACTGACTATGTACCAGGCTCAGTGCTAAGTGCTGGGGATACAAAGAGAGTCCTTGCCTTCAAGGAGCTACCAAGCTAAGGGAAGAAAACAACACATAAAAACAAGGTGAGTGAGAGATTGCATGGACTATAATGAAATCCAAAGGAGTTTAGTGAGGCAGGAAATGAGATGACTTGCTCCCATGACCTTCCTAAATGGAGGATGGGGAGGAGCCTGGGGCAGGGAGTGGGGAGTGGGTGGCATGGAGGTTTCAGAGTTGATGTGATCTTGCAGAATAACGAATTTCTTGAGACCATGATGAAGTCCAAGAGTGCAGTCAGTAGAAAATGAAGGCCTTTGTTAATAAAAAGATCAAAATCAATAAACAAATTAGAAGAAAGATTAAGAATGAAGAAGTTTAGCATTCAATTGAGAAAACTATCTTGACCTATTTGAATGAGCTGTTGCTGCCAAAAAATGAGAAATGAATAAAAGAGTAGACCAGCACATATTATCACTGTTTCCTAAGGGATTTTAACCACTTGACATAAAGAGTAGACCAAAATTATCTTGAAACTCTCCCAGCAAGGAAATGCTTAATCTCTCAGCCAAATGGAAACATCTGGCCGCTGAGGATAACACCAGTTCAGAATATACACTTGTTTTGGAATCTTATGGAGGAGGATGGGGGGTGGGGGACCAAACAAGAAGGTGAGTCTATTGCAACTTCTGGGTCATGTGAGAAACTAAATTTCTTCTCTTTCCTCTGGCCTCTCAAACCTCTCTAGTAAAGAAATTATGCACTAAAGATAAAGCAACTTCAGCTGTTTCCATTGTCTGAGATATGCAGAACCCAAAAAACCCCTTCAAACTTATGAACTGATGCTCACAGGCTCTAAGCTCACTCATCACCTCTCCCTCACCCAACAGGCTACTGGCAGCCAGACTGGACTAGCAGACCAAAGGACATGACCCATGTTTACAGCAAAACCCACCCCCACATTCAGCAAAGTTGCAGGCTACAAATTAAATCCTCAAAAATCAATAGCATTTCTATATAATAATAACAAAACACAAGAAGCAATAATAGAAAAGGAAATTCCATTCCAAATAACTACAAAATGCATAAAATATCTGGGAATCAACCTCCCTAAGCACCTAAAAGACTTGTGTAGATTCAAATACAAAGTGCTTCTTAAAGAATTAAAGAGCATAGGTGGAGGAATATTCAGTGCTCATGGCTAGGCTGTGACAATATAATAAAAATGACAGAACTGCTGAACTTAATTTACACATTTAATGCTATACCAATCAAATGACCAAAGGAATACTTCACAAAACGATAAAAGATCTAGAATCTCAAGGGCAGTGAGGAAAAAAAGTAAGTAAAAAGCAGAACTCACACCTCCACACCTCATACTATATTATAAAGCAGCAGTTATCAAAACCATCTGGTATTGGCTAAAGAACAGAGAAATAGAGCAATAGAACAGACTAGACAAGGAAGGGTCAGGAAAAAAAAGAACTCAAGAACCCAATGTTTGGTAAAGTGGAAAACATGAGTTACCTAGGGTAAAACTTCCTATTTGATCAAAACTTCTAGGAAAACTAGAAAGTAGTCTGGCAGAAATTATGCTTAGACCAACACCTCCTACCCCTCTCCACAATACATTCTAAATGAATATGTGACCTTAATATTAAAGATCATACTGTAAAAAAATTAGGAAAGAAACATATATACCTCTCACAGCTATGGATAGGAGATATATTCTTAACCAAATAAGGGATAGAAGCAATTACAAAAGATAAAATAGGTAACTTTGATTATTTGGAACAGAAACTCTTCTGCCCAAACAGTATTAATGCATTGAGGATAATGGCTAGGATAAGAAGGGATGTGATTAAATGGGGGAAAAATCTTTATCAAATTTTTCTGAAAAGAATTTGGTATCTAAGATGTATAAACAATGTGTGTGTATTTATATATCTAATAGCCATTATCCAATAGATATATGGTCAAAGCATGTCAGTAAATCAACAAAAGAACTGCAAAGTATTCATAATTACATGAAAAAATTATTCAAATTACTAAGAGAAATACAAATCGAAATAGCCCTGAGGTTTCATCTCACCCCCTGCAAATTGGTCAAAATGACAAAAAATGGCAACAGTCAATGTTGGAGGGGTTAGGGAAGGATAGGCACACTGATACATCTTCAGTGGGGCTGTGAAATGGTGTGGCCATTTTGGAAAACAGTTTAGAACTATGCAAATAAAGTGACTAAAATGTTCATATCCTTTGACTCTTACTGGGCTCATTACCTCAAGGAGGCCGTCAATAAAAAAAAGTCTCCTATAATCCAAGACATTCATAGCAGCACTTTTTGTGGTGGCAAAGACTTTGAAACAGAGTTTTATGCCCCTCGATTGGGGAGTGACTAGAGAAATTGTGGTACACGGACACGACGGAAGATAATTGTGCTGTAAGAAAGGATGTGTGTGATGAATACGAAGAAGTCTGGAAAGATCTCTGTCTGCACAGTGATTACAACAACACAAATGGAAAGAGCAGTGGCACACCAAAGAATCACCAGTAAAGGTAGCACAATTATAAAGATCCAGCAGGACTCCAATGGAGAGAGATGCGAAGACATCTTCAGCCTACCCCTTTGTGGAGGGAGATTCACATGAGCCCACATTTTCAGACTTTTTCAATGAATTGATCAGTTGTGCTGATTTTTATCTCTTAAAAAATATAATTTGTCATATAAAATGGCTCTCAGGGAGGGGGAGGTATACTTAGGATAACTATAGTGATATAGGAAACATAAAATAGCAATAAAAACTTATTAAAAGAACAAGAAGAAATTGGAGAAAAATTAGTTATTGTGTGTAGAAAAAAAACAACAGGGGGGCAGAGCCAAGATGGCGGAGTAAAAGCAGTGACTTGCTTGAGCTCTCCCCCAAACCCCTCCAAATACCTATAAAAAATGGCTCTAAACAAATTCTAAAGCAGCAGAACCCACAAAAAGACAGAGTGAAACAAATTTCCAGTCCAAGACAGCCTGAATGGTTGATCAGAAAGGTATATCGTGCCAGGCTGGGAGAGGATCCCAGTTTGGTGTGGGCAGGCAGGCCACAGCAACGCTGGAGTAGGCCTCAGAGGGCTGAATCACCGGGAGCTGTGGCGGTTTCCAGACTTCTCAACCCAGGAACGCCAAAGACAACTTAGAAGGTCAGTGGGAAAAGTCTGTGACTACAGTGAGAGAAGGAGCTAGGTCTCAGCCACAAGTCCCGAGCGTGCCATCAGGGCAGCAGCCCTCCTGAGCTTCTGGCCACAGACAGAGGGGGAATTGAGTGGCTGATCAGAAGGGGATTGCAGGAAACTCTCTGCTGGTGCAGGATTCTCTTGCTTTGCCCATGCTTGGATCTCAGTCACAGTTCTGGGTGGTGGACCTAGGGTGAGGAGAAGCGCTGGTCTGGTGGAGCTTGTAGTGGCTGTGGAGAGGAAACTTTCCTCATAGTTCCAACACAGAAAAGAGTGCTCGTAGACCAGAGCACAGGCCAGGAAAGGAGTAAACACCTCGCCCTTGATCATACCACCTTGGAAGAACTGAAAATTTACAGGTCCCTAGAAGTATTTCTGAACACAGCTGCACAAAACCCCTGAAGCTTGGGACAGTACAGTCTCCACATTGGAAACAGATTGCTACCTTAACAAAGAGTTTATAACTCAAGTAATTGGCCAGCATCATGAGCAAGCAGTACAAAAAGAGTCAGACTATATTATCTTACTTTGATGACAAAGAAGATCAAAACATACAACCGGAAGAAGACAATGAAGCCAAAGCTTCTACATCCAAAGCCTCCAAGAAAAATATGAATTGGTCCCAGGCCATAGAAGAGCTCAAAAAGGATTTTGAGAAGCAAGTAAAAGAAGTAGAGGAAAAACTGAGAGTGTTGCTAAAGGAGGCCCAAAAAAATACTGAAGAAAATAACACCTTAAAAAATAGCCTAACCCAAATGGCAAAAGAGGTCCAAAAAGCCAATGAAGAGAAGAATGCCCTTAAAAGCAAACTTAGCCAGGTGGAAAAGGAAGTCCAAAAGCTTACTGAAGAAAATATTTCTTTAAAAATTAGAATGGAGAAATTGGAAGAGAGGGACAATTCGAGAAATCAAGTCACTGTAACACTAATCAAAAAGAATGAAAAAATAAAAGAGAATGTGAAATATCTCATTGGAAAAACAACTGACCAGGATAATAGATCCAGGAGAGAGAACTTAAAAATTATTGGACTATCTGAAAGCCACGATAAAAAAAAAAGAGCCTAGACATCATCTTTCAAGAAATTATCAAGGAAAACTGCCCTGATATTTTAGAACC